CCCGAACTATGTCCCACCCACCCCAATTTGAACCCCTAAAATCAAGTTTGATAGTGCAAGGTACTATGGAAAACTTAGGTTTATTTGCTTTCCCAGAAAACAAATAAATAACAGCATACAGTACATGTCAGCTTGTACAGATTGTCCGTAAGTTATAATGAATTTATGTCATTTTACAGGTATACGGATGTATAGGGCAATCTCACAGATTTTTTTCAAGTCTTACAGATTTTTTCAGAACCTCATTTTCAAATTTATCTAACATGTCAGAGCCTGTATGATTAAAAAAAACAACAACAAATAACATTAAACAGCCATCTTCCAACCTGTTCTGCTGCTAGAAATAAGTTCTGAACTTTTTCCGCTTTCCCTTCCTCCTGCTTCGCAGCGGGCGCTTTCACATCCTCAGAGAGGCTGAATCCCCCCCCCCCCCCGTGGGTGTGAGTTGTATGGGTTTTTTGCAAAATTTACAGATTTTTGAGGCTTTTTATACAGGTAAACGTCCAAGGAGGTTGACATGTATGGGACAACAAAATACAGACTTGTTGTTATTGAGTTTGTCAACATGAACCGTTACCAGAGAGGCACTACTGGCCCCTCCCCCATCAGAATCTTGGAGCAGGACAAGTCAGTGCAACATCAATCAAACGAGAGAGATGGTGGGGGCGATTGCTGCATTGGTGGGGGGGGGTTTGCTTTATGGGTAGAGTAGTTTATTTTTCCTGTAATACTTCATTATAGTTTTTTAAGACAAAGCTAATTGAAAGGGGCACTGAGCAGCGTTACAACCAGGGTTTACAATTACTTAATTCTTCTGCAGTTTGGCGCCCCCTCCAGCTGATGGCGCTCTAGGTGACCGCCTAGTTCGCCTATGCCAAGAGTCGGCTCTGTGAATGGATGAAGAATAGAGAGCGGAAAAAAAAGAAAGAATGAATGAGACAGGACAGACGTTGTGCTGCATCCATGACTGGGAAAGAGAAGGATGGTTGAAGAGGAGGAAGTGGGAAAAACAGCTCCAGCACTGAATGAGAAGCAGTGCAACTGCTAAACAAATGTGGATTAATAAGCCCTCAAGAGATTTTTACATAACATCAGCTCTGTCTCGCTTAAA